TATAACCACGGGTTCCCTATAAAAGTTGAGGATCTACTTAGCCGTGAAATTATGCTGCGGCTAAGTTATATGAGCTCCGGGAAGGAAGCTCGGAACCAAATTTCCCCATGTGACAATAGAAATCATCCTTATAAGAAAAGTTGAAAGACCAAACTGAAACAACAACCTAAAAATACCTACCTCCATAACCCCCGAATAATCCACAAGATCCCTAAAACCCGGACCAAATCCTCCACGCCCTCTTTCAGCCTTCCAACTTAGGGTTGATTGTTGGATTAGTGTTGATAGTGTTGATTGTTTGTAGACCGGATATTGGTGTGACCATAGACCTCCGATCGAGTTCCGTTCCAGAACCGGTTCACACCTCTTCATCGTACATATCGGTCATATCGGACTTGGTACTACATCGGAAGGTAGTACATTCGGGGCGGGGTATTTTTGACCTTTACAATGGTTACGTGTCATCGTATCAAAACTGTCGTAGCTATATGAAACGTAATATATAAATTAGTTACGTCAATTTAAAAAGTGAGATCAATAAATATATTTATGTCAATATAAAAACTTGTGTCAGGAAATTAAAAATCTTTCAAAAATGAAAAACTGTTTTAACAATAATGAATCCACTCAATAATGTTACTTCGCAATAAGATAATTCAATTACTGTATATCAATTCCCAGCGATACATTAAAATGTTACAACAACACATCAATATTACGGAACAAGTCAAATATTGCGGCACAATTCAAATATTACGACACAAGTCAAATATTACAGTACATGTGTAATAGCCTTTTTGACTATCATCAAAATTTTGAATTATTAGTTATAAACCTATAAGTCTGCACTCCTTAAATATAATCATTGTTCCTCAATAAATAATAAATTAGATAAAATACCTTAACCCGTGTTTGTTACTAAGTGGCATAGTGATAAACTTTGTCTCTCGCTAAATAGTGGATCACGTGATACTTACCAAAGTACCCTGTCCAGTTGAGTCTTGAAGGACTAAGACCAACTGAGGTTGAACAAGTTTAAGAATAGGATACCCGAAGTAGTGTGGTATCCAAAGATAACCCGGATCCGGAACCAAGAATATAAGATAATAAACCTAAAAAAATAAAATAAAAAAGAACTTAGAGAAAGGAACCAATAAAGACTAAAGAGATAACACAAGAAGAATCATTTTCTACGATACCCATAAAAACTCGCCAAATGTAACACGCCTTTTCCAGTAAAGCCCACCGTAGGTTACGTAAAGAATTAAGATTATCAAGCGACTGACTCGCCCCGTTACCCGGTTTCAATATATAGGATTCCGTATCTCATTTAATCAAATAGTCTTATTTCATGTACACCTTGGTTCGAAGAAAATTTCACTTCAAAGACATAAAGTTTATTTTTTTTTATACAATATTAGATAAATTTGTTTGTAAACTAAGTTATTATGTCGATATATAGTATATAGTGTTTCTTTTAACTTTTTTTAAATACATTAAATATATAACCTTAAAGAACTTCTTACGTCATCTTTAAATTATAGTAACAAAATAACAAATAATGAAATAATTTATAAAATAATTGCATAATATTTTAGAAAGATTTAGCTACATTATTATCAAAAATTTCTGGAGCATGATGGCCACTAAGTCCATAAGATTCTTCTAGTCTATAATTTCTTGATCCATAATTATCATCGCCACCTAGTTCAACGAAATTGTAGGCAGCATACCATTCAATTACAAAAGTTACCCAATTCCTAAAAATCCCACCACCGATTAATCCAATTCCTGCCAATGCAACTATAAACACTGGAGTAATTTCAGCTTGACGAACGGCGATACATATTAATATCCAAATCATAGTAAAAGCAAAAATATTATCAGGTCTCATATAATAATCAACTATATATAATCCAAAAATTGATAGAAAAGCTAATATGACAATCGTTAAGGGGATAGTATTAAGCGAAGGTATAGAAATAAAAAAAAAAAGGAATAAAATATACAAATTCCAAGCCATTAAAATTGAAAATGGATAAACTATAAAAAGACTATGTTGAATTGTCTTAGGTTCATAGTAAATTGTAAGATTATAATATATTAATATTGCCAATATTAAGATGACTAATTGTATAAAGGTATCTATAAGGTAAAATCCGAGACCCTAATAAAAATGAGTTAAATAAAATGTAAATTAAAATAATCATATTTTATTTGTTTAATTTGTTTATAATTAATAATTATTCACCAACCCATAAAATCAGTAAGACAACATCCAAAGCAGCTTGAAAAAAGAAAAAATATGAAACTCCATCAGTTACTGAGTCTTCAGCCCATGAAAACCATTGGCAGATTACAAAACAAAGAAGCAACGGAAGAACCAAAAACCAAATTCCAAAAGCATAATCTGTAGGTGTAAGATAAGTGCCTGTAGCGTTAGACGCGCTTTGAGTATCGACACTTGTTATATTTTGACTATTGCTGTTTTGAAAATAATTTAAATCTTTAAGTTCTAGAATGACTACAATAGCTACTAATGCAAGAAATCCGAGGACATTTGCAGATTTTAAAATAAATGACATTGCTTTTTCTCGTAAATTTTAAAAAGAAAAAGAAAAAACAGAGGTTTTGATCTATGTGTGGCATAGCTTATTTACGAGATAACTATGATGATTTTGTTTATTTGAAACTTCAATTCTTTTAATCACATGATCATAGTGAATTAAGTTCAACTGTTTGGATTAATGAAATAAACTATTGAATAAAATATAATATTTATAAAACACAGCCAAGTTTGTAAATGTTAGTAAAGCCTCAAATTAATGAATGAAGATCAGTAGTACGTATCACGGTTTATGAGAGAAGTTGTTGTTAAGAGTAATTAAAATTATGACTAAGTGACTGTGGCTGGGGGGCTTGGGAGGAATATTGAGATACAAACATTTGTGTCCTTCACTTTTTTTATTTTTATTTGTTTTTAAGAATTAAGTATCGAAGAGGTATTTCGTGTAAAAGGTACAGAGCTGTATGTCTTAAAAAATCTTCAACTTTATGAAGTCTTGAAAATGAATTAATCTTCAAAATTTTCAATGCCTTCACAGCATCGGGCTTTCATTGTGATTGGTTTATTTTTGTAAATCATTTCGTGGCAAAAACATTGTTTCTGACCCACTTGGATCACGTTTATTAGCCGATTGGAATAAAGATGATTAACTAAACAAATAAGTTAATTTTTTTAAAACTTTGAGCGAAGGTTTCTCAACAATCACCTAACTAATTTGATGATTTTTTTATTTGAATTCTAAATTATGTAGACTTAGAATAAAAAATTTTCATCGAAATTGGCTCAGTTGTGGTCGAGAAATCTTCGTTAAAAATCAAATCAAATCTATTCCGCCTATAAATGGATGTTACTCTTAATTTTTTTAAAACTTTGAGCGAAGGTTTCTCAACAACCACATAATCAGCTTTGATAGATTTTTTTATTTGAATTCTACATTATGTAGAATTTGAATAAAAAAAGTTTCATCGAAATTGGCTTAGTGATCGTCAAGAAACTTCAAAGTCAAAGCAAATCTATCACACCTATAAACAGTTATTAATTTTTTTAAAACTTTAGCGAAGTTTCTCAACAACCACCTAAATAGTGTTCCGATCAGGTCGGGTTGGGTTTTGGCCAACTCGAACCTGACCTGAAAATTTCTCAACCTGACCCGAAATTTTCAGGTCGGGTTAAAGCTTGAACTGACCTGATTAATGATGCTTCTCGAAACTCGAAACTTTCAAGAGCATCGATATTGAAACTGTCTCAAAACTAGTTTCGACAAAATTTTATTCGAAACTTCGCGAAACCCAAAACTCATATCGAAACTCAAAACTTGTATCAAAACTCAAAACTTGTATTGAAACTCGAAACTTGTATCAAAACTCGAAACTTGTATCAAAACTCGAAACTTGTATCAAAACTCGAATCAGAACTTGAAACTTGTATTGGAACTCGAAACTCATATCAGAACTCGAAACTTGTATCGAAATTCAAAAGTTATAGAATTTAGTCATATCTAAAGTCAAAAGTCTTATTAAAATTTAAAAGAAATGTTTTAACAATAATGAAATACTTTATCAAAATAACTAAATGTTTGAATAAAAATGAAATACTTCATCGAAGTAAATATTTTTTAAAGTTAATAATCAAAACTAAAATAAATTTTTATTTAATAAAATAAATTTATCTTACTATATTAATATAAATTATTAAGAAAAAAAAAACTTTAATTTATATTATAAGGAAAAAATCTTAATTATCTATACTAATGTAAATAAATAATTTTTTTTTAATCCTTATAATTTTAGATTCCTATTTATGAAGTTTAAATTTTTTTATTGATGTTTTTTCTAATTGATATTGTGAAGTAGAACTATCAAGCTCTTCACTACTATTATAACTATTTTCTATAGTATTTTGAGTTATAATAGTTTTATTTCTTTCTTCAATTTTATTATTTTTAAAAATTTCTTCAATTTTCTCTTCTATTTTTTCTTCTATTGTTTCAATTTCTTCTTCAGAATTTTTTAAAAATCTATTTATTATATTTTATAGATTATAATTAATATTTTCAATTATTTCAACCTCATTTTCTTGAATATTTCTAATAATTTTATTATTAATTATATATAAATTCATAATTTCTTCAATTTCAAATTTATCATCTTTGTATATTTCTTTCTATAAATTAAATTCATTATAGTCTAATATTTCAATATCATCTTTATCTTTATTACTTTTATTATCTTCATTATCTATATAATTTTATTTTAACTATTTTCAAATTTTTCAAATTTTTTTTATTAAGTTAGTTTATATTTCTGAGCAAATTTTATTAGTTTGATATATAGAGTTATATATGGGTAATCTCTTATAGTTTGTAATTATATGAAGAGTATACAATAAGCAATATATACAATTTTAGTTATTATCTAATTTAAGTAGTTTACTACATAGATTTTAGGTTATCTGTTAGTATTATATTATATTGTTATACCTATAATCTATTTGTAGATTATCTATTTAAATACTTTGTTTAACTAATCTATACTGTTACAAATTAACATTATTATAATATCTAATTGCTAAAGCTAACTAGCTTATTGCAGATTTATTTATCAACTTTAGCTTAGGTTATACTATACTCAACATATTGTTATGCCTATAATTTTCTATTTCTTTAATTTTATTTTATTTATTTTATTTTTTTTCTGCAATTATGCTAATACTTTATTTAATCAATAATTTTAATCTATAACTAAAATATTTTTATTTAGTTTGTATTACTATCTAGTGACTACTGCAAAGCAGTGTTGTCATGTGAATATGAATAGAACACGGACCGGACACGAACTGGACATCCATATCCGTATCCGAAAATAAAGCGAACATTGGACAGTATAACCCAATAAATATTACCTAATTGGTTTATCTAATAGCAAATCAATTAATTATACAATCATAGAAATATCGATATATCTTATATAATAAACTTAAATATTAATTATTAAACCCTGAAAAATCTAATTAATTACGTATTTATATTTATGAATTATATAGTGATAACAACCACTATCGACAAATAATGAACTTGAAAGCCTAAGATCCAGTTTTTCTTTGGCAGTATTCATACTATATTAGATTAAAGAACTAATTATTTTGGCATCTGATTTAGATAAAATAAGTGGATGTATTAATTTCGAAATAAGTAAAATATAAATTCTTGTTAGCAATTAAGGTGTCATCAACTAGAATGAGTAAAGTTTGAATTAATTTAAATTAAGATAATTTATAGACTATATAAATTTGTTATATTCACATAACGGCTTACTTTGTTTGACGATATCTCGATTTATGTCATTACAAGCAAGATTATTATTAACATTAAATAATTCTGAAACACGATTACATATAATATTATTGAATATTGCTTAGAAAAAAATAAGACTAAGACTTTAAAGTTTACTTTTTATTATACAATATATTAATTTTTTCTGACTAATGAATTATATGACTCAAATAGCTATATTTGCGGAATAAAGTACATTCGTACCTATGTAATACAAAATTTTTTTT